GAAGGGGTTGGCCCTGGCAACGAGCAAGAGATTGGCAGCATCGGGTCTTTGGAAGATTATTTTAGCAGCTAAGAAAGAAGGCTGTACTGGAGAGCGGAGGGGCTCGTTAGAAATAGGGAGACTCGTCCATTTCATTGTCCAGGTGAAGAGGATGGGAGCCTGAATTAGGGTAGTGGCTGTGTGAGTAGAGAGATGGGGACAGACATGAGCAATGTTGTGGAGCTTGCTAGCTGATTCAATGGAGGACCCTCAGATGGCAGATCAGAACAGAGCTGAGGGAGGATACAGTATCCAGCAAAAGGGGTGTGGTCATCAGTGATGAAAGCTGCTGTCCTTTTGGGGAGGGAAGCACTCACATACTCACTGCCATTCATTGCAAAGCCTAGGATACAAGATAACACATCACCAAATACTCTGAATCTTGTTTTTAGCACTGACATTATTATTTCTATACCCCAGTGTAGTAGTGATTATCCTAGCCCCTGAAGGCTAGTTCAGCTACTTTTAACCCCTCCTCCAAGGTTCTTTCAGTACTCCTGAGGGGGTTTGGGAGTCTCTCTTCCATTGGCTCAGGTCATCACTAATAATATTTCCTCAACCACCCCAATCCCATTTAACCATTTATCAATCCAATGAGCTTTTTCAAGAAAAAGCAAACATTCCAACCCCAAATCTGGGAAACATATGCTCTCCCCACCCCTCCCTTATAGCACCTCAGTCTCTGAGGAAGGGAAAGGTTCACAGTTTCATTCAGTTCCTAAATAGCAAGACTCCCACCAAGTTCTAAGTGGAAAGCTGCCCTGGGTTTATGTTCCGAGAGTCTGGCTTTTCAAGGCTTCCCTACTGAACATCCAGCATGGAATCTTGCCGCCAGAATCACAGTAGTTTGAGCTCCTGGGTTCCAGAACCCCACAACCTGTGTCTGGGCCTAAAAAGGACAAATGAAACAAGATGGAAAGCCCAAGCTGGATTCTCAGGGCCACAGGGTCTAAAAGGGAGAGGGAGTGGCTGAACAAATGATGGTATGTGATCTTGATGGAGCACTACTGTGCTGTAAGAAATGGTGAGCCCAATGATCTTAGGAAAACATGGAAAGACTTACATGGAATAATGAAGAGTGAAATGAGCAGAACCAAGAGAACATCGTATACAGTAACAGCAATAGAAATTTGTATAGAATGATATGTGTATATGCACCCACACATACACATATTTATGTCAAATGGTGGCCACCTAAGGAAGGAAAGGAAAAAGAAGAGAAAGTAACATGATAACTGTATTATGCATTTAAAAGAAATAGCAAGTTGTACATAACAGATTTGCAGTTTCATGTGCAATCATCTTTTTTTTTCTATTCTACTATGTTATAGAAATACTTGTTTTATTTCTTAAGTTCAGAATTTAAAAAAAGGGGTAGAAGGTACAAGGTGGACCTTCCCTCCACCTCGTTTAGTTCATGGAGACCAGGCTTTGGGTGGATAGGACCTTCACCACGCTCTACCCCTCCCTACTCACCCCGGAGAGGAAGACTGCCCCAAGCTGGCTGTTTTAAAGAAGAACACTGTTGTGGCTACACAGCCAATGGAAAAGGCCACTTCCACCTGGGGTAGGGGAATGGCAGGATGGCTTGTCCCAGAATCAGGTGTCTGCCATTTCTTATATGGCTGACTCCATCTCAGGTCACCCAAACATGTACCAAAACCCAGTCACACAAGAAAAAATGTAATGAGTCTTATTGCAGCTGGACCATTATACAGATCATAGCCCGTCCACTTCTAGCTTTCCACCCTTTGTGACTTATCCATTGATATTCTCTAGTTTTGATGGCTCAGAATAAGTGCAAATAGCAAATATCTTTGTTCTGGCCAGAAACTCTGAGTGTCCTCCCCTCCCAGACTGATTCTTTTGGGAAGCAGACTAGTCCATCTTTTACCTCAATTCTTACCTAGACTTTGATTACTGAATGCGCACTGCCTCAGACAGAGTGAGACCTGAGAAAGACCTTAATCTAAAAAGGCCTGGGTCTCCCACTGCATCTGGGACCATCTGCAGTCATCCTGATCTCCATCTGCCATGGGACCCCAGTGGCTCCAGAGAAGAGAGTGAGGCTGATGACTTTGTTTTTGTTTTTAGGCAATTGGGGTTAAGTGACTTGCCCAGGGTCACACAGCTAGTGAGTGTCAAGTGTTTGGTCTGAGACTAGATTCGAAGTCAGGGCTGGTGCTCTATCCCCAGCGCCACCTAGCTGCCCCGAGGCTGATGACTTTGCACAACCCTGCCTCACTTAAATCTAATTCACAAGTCAAAGCATCCCCCTCCTGGGGTCATCGCTCCCTTTCTAGAATGAAGGACCTGCAACAGTAGCAACAGCAATCCATACTCTCCAGTAGTCCGCCCAGGGCAGCTGTCCTCGTGCCAGTAGCCTTTCTCTAGGACTCCCGAGCTCACAGGCACACCAGGCCAGCACATACGGTCTCCAGCCACTCCCCTGTGCCCTCCCCCCAGGCCCAGCCAAGCCTTTGTTTGATGATGGCCTCAGTACCACTCTGTCTGCAGTTGTTCTCTAGCCATATGTGACACCTTCCACATGGCCCTCCAGGGGGCCCAGAACAATACAAGTGATGGTGAGCCTGATAACTGGGTTCACAGCAGTTCATGGTTTGCTAACACTGGTCACATCCATTTTATTTATTTATTTTTGGAGGCAAGCAACTTGTCCCAGGGTTTGAACTCAGGTCCCCCTAATCCCCCTCTATCCCCTGCGCCACCTTGCTGCCCCTGCCGCATCCATTTTAAAATTTCAATTTGAAAGTGTCCCCAGTGCACAGCCAATCCAGAAGTCAGTGGCTCTCACAAATGGTAATGCTGAGTAAGAGAACCAATCCCAAAGTGTGCAAAGAACATTCTGAAGTTGCCAGCTCAGGGCAGGGATGTACCAGCAAGCTTGTTCATGCTGGCATTTCCTAACACTGCCACTTAGGAGAACTTACATGACATCACTGCATTTTTCCCTCAGCCACCACCATCTTTCATCTAGGATTGTTTTCGATCCTGCCTTTCTGCTGAAGAAGGCCTTTCCACCTCCACCCGATTTGTTCTGGGGGAAGTCTGGCCACTTGCTTTGTCGTGGGAGAGGAGGGATGCCAGTCCTCTGCCAAAAGCAAGAGGGGGACATGCATGCCATGGCCAATTAAAGGCGCTAGCTGTTCAGTCTACTTTGTGAGTATCAAGTGACAGAAGGAAACAATACAGAGAATGTGGTTTCAGCAAAATTAAAATTCATGAAAAAGTTGAACATTCCCCGAACTACTTTAATAATAGAATCCAATTATGCAAGCACAGCAAGAGATGAGAGCTCTGACGAGGTGAAAGAGAGCGTCTATCCCGTTCTGCCTTCCTTCAACACAGGAACTCAATTTCAGCACAGGACATAAACTTCCTTTGGCTTCTCCATACGAACTGTTATAACGGCAGCTGGAACATTCAGTACATACGGGCAGGTGGGAAGGAAGCTGACCGTTTCCACGAGGGTTTATTTCAGATTCATAAAGGAATGTGCTTATTATTCTGTGCTGGGTGATGTTTGGAAATCTAGTTCAATGACAGGGACTGCTAGGGGTGGGGGGGATGGAGAGGAGGCAGGAAATAAGACTGAATAAAGAGGTAAGGTGAAAACAAAATGTAGAGGTAAGTTTGATTTCACGCTATTTTTTTTTAAAAAAACTACTTGTCACTAAATAGAATTACTTGGAATATTTTTTTTTTAATTGGTAAAGCAACATTTCTTTAAGTATCTACTTTGTTTCAGGCACTGATAGAGTCTGTATGTTAAAAGACCACAAATGAAGTAGTCACTGAATTCAATGAGTTTATATTCTACCAAAGGAATAACATATACACATAATGAGTATGCACAAAATGCCTACAAAGTGAGCACAAGAAGAGGCAGCTAGGTGGTGCAGTGGATAGAGCGCCAACCCTGGAGTCAGGAAGATCTGAGTTCAAATCTAGCCTCAGACACGTACTAGTTTACACTGACCCTGGGCAAGCTGCTTTAGCCCATTGCCTCCAAAAAAAAAAAGTAAACACAAGGGAAGGGAGGGTGGGGTACTAGCAGCTAGGGGAAGCAGGATAGGTTCTTTTGTAAAAAGTAGCCTCTTTGCCTGAACTTTCAATAATCAGTGGATCAAGCTGCGCTGACTACAACATGCACAAAGATACCCTTCATGATGGCAGCCGATCAGATGTGCTGGTCAGTGAAGCAACAGGCATTTGTGAAGTGAGTTCTTCGTACCAGATGCTGTGCTAAGTGCCGTGGATACAAAGGCAAAAACAGTCCCTATCCTCAAGGCGCTCACATTCTAATTCATTAGCTCAGTGTTTATGGGCAGCTAGGTGGAACAGTGGAGGGAGTGCAGGGCCTGGAGTCAGGAAGACTCATTTCCTTGGGTTCAAATCTGGCCTCAGACACTTTCTAGCTGTGTGATTCAGGACAGGTCACTTAACCCTGTTTGCATCAGTTTCCTCATCTGTGAAATGAACTGGAGAAGGAAATGGCAAGAAAACACCAAATGGGGACACAAAGAGTCCAACACAACTGGAAATTGACTCAATGATAAGCTTTGTGCTCAGGCATTTGGAGGATGTTAAGTCCCTCAATGCTTCTGGTTTTGTGTGACTTGATGCTTCAGGGTTTGAACTTTAAGTGAACCACCCCCTTTATCGGCCACTGGGAAGAAGATCAGTTGCTAAGTGGGCCTGAAAGAAGAACATAACAGTCCCTGGAGCTTTTCTAAAACTTCTTTTCCTGGTTGCTATTCATGTCAGGGCTGTTTTGAGGCTTCTTTCAGAGAGAGCTGGGGGAAGACAGCTTGCCCTATCACCTACCCTGGCCACCATATGGACGTGAACAAATGAATGAATGAGAATGTACTTTTAAGTGCTTAGTATATGTAAAGCACTGGGCTAAGCCCTGGTGATATAAAGTGAAAAGTAAGACAGTCCTTATTCACATTCCGTTGGAGGAGACAACACATACTGAAGGCCTCAACTGCAAATTTAGATGGAAAAGTCCTACGGTCCTCAGAGTGCAAGCAGCAAAGTGGACGGTAAAGCATTTTCTTTAATATCGTTCCCACTGATCAGAAATGGATCAGTTTCTGATGTTGTATTGTTTTGCAGTGCCAAGGACTTTCATGGAGAAATCTTCCTCTTCTGAGTCTTTGACTGGGGCTAAGGCTGGGGGTGTAGTCCCCTCACAAGCAGTTGCCAGGCTGCATCTTCACATGGGTTGCTTCTTGACAAAATGGTGGCCAGAAACAGAACCAGTCTGAAGGAAGCTGCCACTCCTGAGGCTCTGGGACTATGTACCTAGCAGTGGGATATCTACTCAAAGGGTATGGGCATGTAAGTCGCTATTTTGTTTGTTTGTTTGTTTTTAAGAATTCTGCTTTCCAGAATAACTGATTCTCAAAAAATAAAAAACCAAAACCAAAACCAACCAAACAAAAAAAAACCCAAAGGGGCAGCTAAGTGGCACAGTGGATAGAGCACTGGCCCTGGAGTCACGAAGACCTAAGTTCAAATCTGACTTCAGACATATAACATTCACTAGCTGTGTGACTCAGGACAAGTCACTTAACCTAAATTGCCCCACCTAAAAAAACCCCCAAAAAACAACCCAAAAAACAAACCAAAATAAAACCAAAACCAGAATAAGTGGTTCAGTTCACAGCTCCAGCAAGCAGTGTGTAAGTACGCCCATCTTTCCTCTCCAACACTGGCTTTTTCCATTTTTGTCATCTTTGCCAGTTTCCTGAGTGTGAGGAGACACTGTAGAGCTATTGTAATTTGCATCTCCTTACTATTAGGAGTTAGCAGCAATTTTTGAATGATCATTAATATTCTTCATGATTCATGAATTATTTGTTCGTTTCCTTTGACAATGTATACACTGGGAAATGATTCCTGATCATTTTTACCATTTAAATCTCTAAATATCTTGGATATGAGACCCCGTGACAGACAGTTGATTCAAAGTTTTATTTCCATTTGATCTTTTCCGTTCTTATCCTCATTGTATTGATTTTGTTAGTGCAAAAGCTGTTCAGTTTCATGTAATCTAAATAATCTGCTTTATCTTTTGTGATCACTTCTATCCCCCCTTGGTAACTGTGAAAGGAACTTAAGACAATTTCCTTCCCTTCCCTTCTGTTCCCTTCCCTTCTTCCTCTGTCTCTGTCTCTGTGTCTATCTTTCTCTGTCTCTCTCTTTCCCCCCACCCCCACTGGCAATTTTTTTTATTAATTTATTTTGATTTATCAACAATCACTTCCATATGCTATTGAGTTGAAAATTTTTCTCCCCCTTCCTCCCCCCACCCTCCCCAAGACGGCGCACAATCTGATATAGGCTTTACATTTACATACCCATTAAACATATTTTCACATTAGTGAAGTTGTAAGTAAAAATTAAAACCAATAGGAGGAACCATCAGAAAGATGCTTTTTCTCCATCCTTTTTTCCCCCCATTTATGCTTTTCTTTTTCCTTTTTCCTTTCTCCCCTTCACTAGTGTTTTGCTTTTGACCACTGCCTCCTTCAGTCCCTTCCCCCTTTTATTATCCCTTTCCCTTTCTTCCCCTTTAGTCTTACTGCTGCTTCCCTCCTTCTTTCCCCCCCTTTTCTTTCCCTTTTCCCTCCTACTGCCTAAAGGGCAAGTTAGATTTCTATACCTAACTGATTATATTATGCCCTTCTTGAGCCAAATCTGATGAGAATAAGGTTCAAACAATGCTCCCCCTCCCTTCTTTCCCTCTGCTGTAATAGGATTTTGTGTCTTTTCCTGTAATGTAATTTACCCTTGTCTGCCTCCTCCTTTCTCAGTACATTTTCTAAGATCAGATTGATCCACTTATTTGGATCCATTTAACCCACTTGATTAGATTTTTTTTTATCATTACATCAAAGTCAACTAATATCCACCCTCTTTATGTATACTCCTTTAACAAGGTGTAATAACAATACAGTTCTCAAGGGTTGCAAGTCTCATATTCCCTTGTAGGGTTTAAACACACCCCCCCCATTAACAACATATTGTATCTTCTGTCCCATTTACCTTTTTAAGTCCTTCTTGAGTCCTGTACTTGAAGATCAAATTTTTTGTTGAGCTCTGGTCTTTTTATCAGGAAAGTTTGGAAGTCTCCTATTTCATTGAATATCCACCTCCTCCCTTGAAAAATGATGCTCATTTTTGCTGGGTAATTGATCCTTGGCTGCATTCCAAGCTCCTTTGCCTTACGAATATCATGTTCCATGCCCTGCAGTCTTTTAATGTAGAAGCTGCAAGGTCCTGTGTAATCCTGACTGTGGTTCCATGATATTTAAATTGTTTCTTTCTGGCTGCTTGCAGCACCTTCTCTTTCATCTGGTAATTTTGGAATTTTGCTATTATATTCCTTGGCATTGTCAATTTGGGATCTCTTTCAGGTGGTGATCGGTGGATTCTTTCTATGGTTATTTTCCCTTCTGGTTCTAGGACTTCCAGGCAGTTTTCCTTTATGATTTCCTGAAAGATACTGTCCAGGCTCTTTTTTTCATCATGATTTTCAGGTAGTCCAATAATTTTTAAATTGTCTCTCCTGAGTCGATTTTCCAGGTCGGTTGTTTTACTGATGAGGTATTTTACATTTTCATCTATTTTTTCATTTTTTGTTTCTGTTTGACTGATTCTTGCTCTCTCATAGAGACATTAGTTTCCATTTGTCCAATTCTAGTTTTTAACAGATTGTTTTCTTCTGTTAGTTGTTGCTACAGATGTGGGTTTGTTGACAATGTTGCCCTCTTCAGAATTTCTTTCTTGATCTTCGCTCTTCTCATAATATGAATCTATGGTACGTTTCTTTTTACTCTTGGTGTTTCTTTATTCCCTGGCCTTTAAAGAGATTCTGGTGTTGTGAGCCTAGGTCTTGGTTACTGGCTTTGTGTGCTGGGGCCTCTTATGCTGGCAATTGGAGGCTGTAGGTTTCTGGCAGCTTACCTCGTGTTGGGCTGGAATCAGCAAGGCTGGAACTTTCAGGCAATTCTAGGTTGCCTGCTTTTCCTTTCCTTTAGCTTTATTCAGCTCCTTTTAGATGGGTGCTGCAGGGTGTTTATCTGCCTGGGGCCCCCTGCAGTGTTGTCTCCCTCATTTCTGCTAATGCACCAGGAGATTCCTTTATGGTGGAGTGCCCAGGCTCCTGGTGGTTTTCTGAGCTGGTTTCCACCAGTTCCCCGCCCTCACTGAGGCACTCGGAGGTCCAGGTGTTGGTGTTTGCCTGCTCTACCACCTGGGCTTCAGGATTTCTTCACAATTGGAGGCTTCAGAGCTCCTACAGCTCACCTGGTGTTGGGTTGGAATCAGCAAGGCTGGGGGCTTTAGGAAGCCTTTAGGTTGTTTTCTTCATCTCCTTTCAGATGAATGCCGCAGGGTACTTGTCCGCCTGGGGCCCCTTGTAGTTCTGCCCACTTATTTTTACTGAGGCACTGGGAGACCTGTTTGCTGGGCTGCTGCACTGCTGCTCCTCATCTTTCTTCTAGTCAGGTGTTCCAGGGTCTTTTTTCTGGGGTGGTATTTTCTGGGTTTTCAGAGGTTGATAGGGGAGAGTGAGAGCGACTACCTTTTTACTCTGCCATCTTGGCTCCCAGAATCGGAAGTCTCTGTCTCTCTCTTACAATAAGCTCATATATCCATTTTGAGTTTGTTGTACTATATGATGTGCTATATATGTGTTATATAATTATCTTCAATGGTTGAAGAGAATTGTTGCCAAGCTATCTTTTATTTTTTGCACTAGTTCTTGTCAAGTAGGGCGTTCTCCAAGTAATATGTTCTCAGGTTTATCAGACACTTGATTTTTGAGGTCATTTGCTTCTGAATCTTCCTTAATCTTTTCCACTGATATACCCTATTTTGTTTAATCAATTTGATGGCTGTATTGTAACATAATTTGAAGCTTGGTGGCACTAGTCCTGCCCCTCCCCCAACTTTGTTCCTAACTTTCATTATTTCTCTTGGGATTCTAGACAATTGATTCCTCCAAATGAATATATTCTTGGACGTTTAATTGGCATACCATCACATCTCTAAGTTGATTTAAGTGACATCATTTTTATTATAGTGGTGTGGCCCAGTCACAAGCAGTAGTGACTATTGCTCTCTTCCATCATTCTATAGCTCTTTAAAGAATGTTCTGTAATGTTATTTGTCTTGAGTGTGTCTTGGCAGATTGCTTTCACATGCTTTATGCTTTCATAATTATTTTGAATGGAATTTTCCTTTTTATCATTGCCTTCTGGGTTTTGTTATCACTATACAGAAATGTTGATTTTTCAGGCTTTGTATTATGTTCTCTGCAGAAGTTACTCTTTGTCTTTTCTGATTCCTTGCAGGCATTATAAATAGTCATATCCTGAGTACATAGGCATTTTTTTCTTCTCTGCCATCTCATAACTTTACTATCCTTCTCATGTCTTATTAGCATTGCTAGCACTTCCAGAACTATGTTAAATAGCAACAGGAACAGGAGGCATCCTTGCTTTACTTCTGTGTTTATTGGTAAAGCTTGTAGTATTTCCCTGTTGCAATAATGCTAACTTTTATTTTTAAATGTATGTTTTTCTCATATTAAAAATGTCCCTTCTACACTTATGTTTTCCTATTTTTCTCTCTTGACAGGACACAATAGTGCACAATTTTGTTTTTGCTTGTCAGAGAGCATAATTGTAACTTTATTGTTTTTTTTCTTTTTAATTACCTGATGCATAGTAAATTTAGTTTCAGCTTCTCTTCTTTCTCTAAGAGCCTGGGGTGGGATGATGAGAATATTTCTTGTATATAGTAGTTTATTGGGGTTTTCCCCTCTTTTCACATTCTTTTATTTTATTGGGTAATTTAATCCATTTAAGTTAAAGTTATGATTGTTAGATTTCTGTTTTTTTCCCTTAGCTATTTTGCATTTTTAATCCCTTTCCTCCTTTAAGTCAGTACTTTGTCCCTACAATTAGTTGGGCTTACACTTTGACACTAAACTATTTCCACAGGCTTCCTCCCTTCACCCCCACCCCTCAATCCTATTTGCCTACCCATCCTAAGTTTTCTGAATTTACTTTAATTTCTTTTTATTCACTATTTCCCCCTCCACACACACACACACACACACACACACACACACACACACACACACTTTCCTTTCCCTTTCTTTCCCCTGACCAAGCCAAGCAAATAGCTCAAAATCTTCCCTCTCCACAAGCCTCTTATTTTAAGTAACAGTCTTTTGCCACACCCTTTTCAAAGTTTTCCTTTGCTTTGACATAATTTCTTTTCCCTTCCAGTCTATTCTGAATTTTATTTTCGGATTCATGTGCCAT